TTGCTAATGTGGCAGGTGTAGCTGAAGAGCTGAACGTTTGATTTATTTTAATTAATTTAGTGGTTGTGTGTTGCCAGCAGCTCCCACCTGGGCTGTGACCCCATGGTCTGTGGACCTCACTCTGGCACCAAACTCTGAGCGGAGCTGCCTGTGGCCACCAGACAGTGTGGAGTGCCTCTTCGGGTTGTGTAGAAATAGGAAATGAGTCACCAAAGTAGGAGCTGTTGCTGCTGCGTTCTCTAGCGCACCTGCCTTGTCTGTGCTGCTCGGTGTGGAACGCCTCTCGGGCGCTGACAGCGTCCTTGACTCTGTTGCTGACCTCCTTGGATTTACCTGGTCCATTTGGATCAGGTTCTTTCACCTATTCACACGAGCAAATACCACCTTAAAACCTTACAGGTTGGCTTAACACTTCCTGCCCTTTTTTTTCCTTTCTTTTAGTCTCTGCGATACGATACCAGCTATTTTGTGGAGTATTTTGCCTTAGATCTCCTGATGGAGGACGGGGAGTGCCGTGGTGTCATCGCACTGTGCATAGAGGACGGGTCCATCCATCGCATAAGAGCAAAGAACACTGTTGTTGCCACAGGGTAGGACTCTAATTTCTACTTTATTTCATTTATAAAAATGAATAACTTTCATTTAGAGTTTCTTTATTTTAATGAAAATAGAGGCATTGTAGAATAACGGTTCAGACACAGGCCTTGATATAACCTTGTGAGGGTGATGGCCTCTCCCAGCCGTGGTTGCTCACCTGTAAAGGGTAAGGACGGGAGCACCTGCCTCAGGCGGCGAGAAAGCATGGCCCTCAGTAGACGGGGGTGGCTGCCATCAGGTTCACAGCTTACCTCTCCCGATTTGAGATGAGGAAACTGCGGCCCAAAGAGTCCCATGGGGGTTTCTGGCAAAATCCCTCTTGTTTTAGTGGGTACTGTGTTAATACTGATTCCTGGGATGGGTAAGTCCTTCTTCTCCACATAACGAAAATAAGTAACTTTAATTTTATACACTGTCAGTTACTTTAACCATTTTCAAAGTAAAAACTGTCAGTACAGCGAAGGAAAAAATCAGCAAAACTACAGGTTGGGAAAAAATATTTTCCAAACCATATATCTAAGAATATCTTAGTATCTAAAATAGAAAAAAAAACCCTACTAAAAACAACCTACTAAACCCTACTAAAAAACAACCCTACTAAAAATGGGCAAAGGACTTGAATAGATATTTTTCCAGAGAAGACAAACAAATGGCCAATTGATGTATGAAAAAATGCTCAACATCACTAAGCACCAGAGAAATGCAAATTAAAACCCCAATGAGACATCATCTCATCTCACTCCAGGTAGAATGGCTGTTGCCAAGAGGACAAAAGAGAGCAAGTGTTGGTGAGGATGTGGAGAAAAGGGGACCCTGTGTGCTGTTGGGGGGAATGTAAATTAGTACAACTGTTGTGGAAATTCCTCAGAATTCACAGGACTACCATGTGCTCCAGCAACCCCATTTCTGGGTGTATATCCAAAGGGCGTGAAATCAGAAGCTCAAAGAGACACCTGGACCCCCATGTTCATTGCAGCGTTGTTCACAGTTCCCGAGATGTGGAAAAAACCTAAGTATGTGTTGGTGTTTAAGGAAAATGTGGTGTGTATACGCAACTGAATATTACTCAGCTATGAAAACGAAGGGAATCCTGTCATTTGTGACAACAGGGATGAACCCAAAGTCATTATGTTAAGTGAAACAAGCCAGGCACAGAATGACAGATACTGCATGTCACTTATATGTGGAATCTAAAAAAGTCAAAACTCAAAGAAACAGAATAGGACAGTGGTTGCCAGGGGCTGGGGGAATGCAGACTGCAGCGATGCTGATGAAAGGTGTGACTTCCCGTTACAAGGTGAACTTCAGAAGTTCTAATATACAACATGGTGGCTATAGTGAATATTATACAGCACGGTGGCTACAGTTAACGTTATACAGCACGGTGGCTATAGTGAATATTATACAGCACGGTGAGTATCATTAATATTATAACTTGAAATTTACAAACAGAGTAGACCTTAGGCGTCTGTATCTCCAAAAAAAAGGATAATTATATGAGGTGATATGAAGGGGGTGGCCTGCCCCTCCACACCTGTGGGCGTTTCTCGTTAGGTGGAACGAGAGACTTGAGAAAAGAAATGAGACACAGAGACAAAGTATAGAGAAAGAAAAAGTGGGCCCAGGGGACCGGCACTCAGCTTACAGAGGACCCACGTTGGCACTGGTCTCTGAGTTCCCTTTGTATTTATTGATAATTATTTTTACCATCTTAAAGATAAGGGAGTGGCAGGACAATAGGATCATTTTAGGGAGAAAATTAGCAGTAAGACATATGGATAAAGATCTCTGTGACATGAATAAGTTCAAAGGAAAATGCTGTGCCTTGATATGCATATGCAAACATCTCCACAAACCTTTTAGCAGCATTGTGCCAGCAAGTCCCGGCCAGGGAGTCCCACCTTATGCCATAAGGTGGTTTTCTCCTGTCTCAGTAAACAGAGCATACAATCGGGTTTTACACTGAGATGTTCCATTGCCCAGGGAGGGGCAGGATTTTTAACCAGCAAGCTGCCTTCAGGCACTTGTTTAACAAAGACACATCCTGCACAGCCCAAAATCCATTAAACCTTGAGTCACCACAGCACATGTCTCTTGCAAGGACAAGGTTGGGGGTAGGGTCACAGATTAACAGCATCTCAAATACAGAACCAAATAGAGTCTCTTATGTCTACTACTTTCTATATAGACACAGTAACAGGCTGATCTCTCTTTCTTTTCCCCACAGTGATAGATGTGTATTAATTTGATTGTGTCATCAGTTCACAAAATATATCAAATCACGTTGTACACCTTAAATATATACGGTTTTGGTTTTTTTTTTATTCATCAATCATACTTCAGTAAATCGGGGGAAAAAAACAAAATCCATAAAAATTTTAAAATTTTCGTTATAAAAGTAGTATATGCTTATTGGGGAAATCTTTTGAACAGCACAAAGCTAAAATACAAACAGGGCCAGGTGTGCAGTGGCTCATGCCTGTAATCCCAGCACTTTGGGAGGCCGAAGTGGGAGGATCACTTGAGGTCAGGAGTTCGAGAGCAGCCGGACCAACATGGCAAAACCCCATCTCTACTAAAAATACAAAAATTAACTGGGCATGGTGGTGCACACCTGTAATCCCAGCTACCCGGGAGGCTGAGGCGGAAAAGTCACTTGAACCTGGGAGCCGGAGGTTGCTGTGAGCCGAGATCGTGCCACTGTGCTCCAGCCTGGGCGACAGAGTTAGACCCTGTCTCAAAATAAATCAATAAAAACAAATGGAAGTCCCTTCCCTGATCCCAGGCTTCTGTCCTGCCCGCACAGAGTAGCAGCCCCACTGGTGTGGCCCCCAGTGATGTGTGTGGGGTGTGCGTGAGTAGGGGGTTGTGTGCACACAGACAGCACTGAGAAGATGATGCCCGGGGGCTGCTGTGTCCATTCTGTGATCTCACCAGACAGGAGGTCCGGACGTGGGCCGCTGTGTGCAGTCACTGCTGTCTGTTGTTTCCAGAGGCTACGGGCGCACCTACTTCAGCTGCACGTCTGCCCACACCAGCACCGGCGACGGCACGGCCATGATCACCAGGGCAGGCCTTCCTTGCCAGGACCTAGAGTTCGTTCAGTTCCACCCCACAGGTAGGGCAGGACGCCTTGCCTGGCAGGCGTTCAGCTCATGTGTGTCTTGTAAGCGTGTGGTGCCTACTCATTGCTCCTCCATGGTTTTATGTGGTAACGTGGTGTTGAAGATCAGCTTTCTCAGCTCTCAGGTCCTCACTTCAATGTCGTTTCCTTAAGGAGACTTTTCCCAGACTTCCCTTCCCCTAAGGCAGTTTGGGCCAGCGTTTTATGCATTTCTGAAGAGCCCTAAACCCTGCCTTGGTGATACTTATGCCAGCAGTAAAGCAGGGATTGAGGCCAGGCGCGGTGGCTCACACCTGTAATCCCAGCACTTTGGGAGGCCAGGGCGGCCGGATCACCCGAGGTCAGGAGTTCAAGACCAGCCCGACCAACATGGTGAAACCTCATCTCTACTGAAAATACAAAAATCAGCATGGCGTGGTGGCATGTACCTGTAACCCCAGCTACTTGGGAGGCTGAGGTGGGAGGAATGTTTCAACCTGGGAGGCAGAGGTTGCAGTGAGCCGAGATCGCATCCCTGCACTCCAGCCTGGGCAACAGAGTAAGACTCCGTCTCAAAAAAAAAAAAAAAGTAAAGCAGGGATTGTTCAGTGTCCCTCTTCGCAACGAGGTCGTCAGCTCCTCGGGCAGGCAGGTCTTCTCATTAGCTGGGGTGGCCCATGCCCAGCACGTGGCAGGGTCTCCATCAGGGTTTGCTGAGTGAGCGTTCTGAGAGCTGGGAGAATGCCGTGGAACCCAGAAGCAGCACGGGCAGATTCCGGCTTTGTAGGAGAACACGGAGCTTCCGCGGTAATGGGGTGTAAAGTTAGGGCACAGCCGTGACAGAACCCCGTGTGACGTTCGGACATTGGGGCTCCGCCCACACAACCACTGAGGGAGCTTTTTGAGGGGAAGATGCGCTCATCTCGGGGACGTCTGACGGTTGAGCTTAGGAATGTGCAATTTGGAGACATTAACACAGAAATGACAGTTAAAGTCTTGAGTTTGGGGGAGGTTCTTCAGAATGAGTCAGAGAGAGAGACACACACACATCTGCCTCTTGTTTGAGGTGACTCGTCCTGGACTTCTCTGGGTTGCTTTTCTGACCTGTGGACGATGGAGACCCCTGAAGTGGTGCTCAAGAACCAGACCTGTGCCTTCTCTTTCTCTGTCAGTGTCAGCTTTCTGGTCCCTGGAAGGGATGAAAATAAGAAATGAATTTGTTGTAGGTTTTTTTGTTTTTTTTTTTAATTTGTTTAGAGACGGGGTCTTGCTCTGTTGCCCAGGCTGGAGTGCAGTGGAGCAGTCTTGGCTCACTGCAGCCTTTGTCTCCCAGGCTCAAAGGATCCTTCCACCTCAGCCTCCCAAACGGCTGGGACTACAGGCATGCATTACCATGCCTGGCTAATTTTTGAGGGTTGTTTTGTTTTTGGTAGAGACGGGGTGTCACCGTTTTGCCCAGACTGGTCTCAAACTCCAGGGCTTAGGCGATCCTCCTGCCTCGGCCCCTCAGAGTGCTGGGATTATAGCCATGAGCCACTGCACCCGGCCTGTTGTATTTTTTTATTACTTTTTTTAATCAATAGAATGTCACTGAGTCCCTGAATTCCCTCTGTAATTTGCTTAGAGCTCCACTTCTCATGCTTTGTCTTCAATATGTGAGAAGTAATCCGCAGAAAAAAGAGCATTGAAACTTAGAAAATCAAAAGACAGGCGAGATGCAAGAATCACATTCTTGTTTTAAAAGCAAGATTGCCCTTTTTGTATACTAATAAAAATTGTAGCTTTTGAAGTACGTTTAGTTTCGGGTTTTTGATCTCCTTGGTTAAAATTCGAGAGCTAGGCATGCCCTGTTTCTCATCGCCTTGAGGAGTCACAGAGCCGCTGTTTGGAGCACAGACCGCCGGACTGCCCAGGTTTGGGTTTGAGCTGTGTCCTCAACTGCATGACTGAATGTTACCAAGCGGTAATTTGCTGTCACTGAGAAAGCGGGTAGTACTACCCGGAGTTGTTGTAAGACTTAAATGAGTTAACATGTGGAAAGCAGCTAGAACTGCCCCTAGCAAGTGCAGAGTGAATATTAAGTAAAATAATCATTATTACTGTCCTTGCCACTGTTTGGGTAATTTAGATATGAATTCTCCAAGCTCGTATTCTTAACTAGTTACCACAGTGTCATAGTGCAAAAGAGTGTTCAAAAATTAAAACAAAATTTGAGGCATCCAGCGTACACGGGGCTGTAATCAGAGTATCGGCCAGAGGTCTGTGGGCCTTTCTCCTCGCTGGGGACACTGCTCTGCCCCAACCTCTGCTGCAGCTGTCAGCCTCGTCAGTGCTTTTTGTTATCCAGACTTTCTACTGTATCTTAACTGTTCTTTCTATTCAGTTTTGCATATAATGCCTTCTGCATATCTTTTTCCTCTCTCCCCCAAAAAATATCTTGAAAAAATAATGCATTTGAAATAGAGTCCTAGCAATTGTTAGGTTATAAATGTTTGTGGTTTTTTGCAGGCATATATGGTGCCGGTTGTCTCATCACGGAAGGATGTCGTGGAGAGGGCGGCATTCTCATTAACAGTCAAGGCGAAAGGTTCATGGAGCGATACGCCCCCGTGGCGAAGGACCTGGCGTCTAGAGATGTGGTGTCTCGGTCGATGACTCTGGAGATCCGCGAAGGAAGGTCCGTGTGATTTACCACCAGCATTGTCTGAGTGGGCACACGGGCCGGGGTTGCTTCTGTGAGTTCCAGCACCGCTCGCCCTCACCTTCGTGTGCAGGCACACGTGCACAGCCACCTCTCTCAGCTGCTGACAGGCGTCTGTTAGTCTGTGGTATTTTCTTAAAGACCTACATTTTAAAAATTTTAGCCAGTTTCTTTCTCAGATCTGTGGAACAGAGTTTCTCTTAGTGTGGGTGAGTATGTGACAGAGTGCGGGAGAGAGAGACGCACACGCAACCTGAAGTCGGCACGTGAGCCTTGAGTGTCGTGTCTGATGCCCACAGGTGTTTTTCGGCAGCTTTTCAAAGGGTGTGGGTTACTTGGCTTTTAGTAAAACAGTTTGCAGCTCTTTCATTCCTGACCCTGTTCTTTAATGTAATATCTGCTGGGATGGCTTTTGGAGGTTTTACATTTTTATATTTAAAAAAACAGAGAAGTCAGGCCGGGCGCGGTGGCTAAGCCTGTAATCCCAGCACTTTGGGAGGCAGAGGCGGGCGGATCATGAGATCAGGAGATGGAGATCATCTTGGCTAACATGGTGAAACCCCGTCTCTACTAAAAATACAAAAAATTAGCCAGGCGTGATGCCAGGCGCCTGTAGTCTCAGCTACTAGGGAGACTGAGGCAGGAGAATGGCATGAACCCGGGAGGCAGAGCTTGCAGTGAGCCCAGATGGCGCCACTGCACTCCAGCCTTGGCGACAGAGCGAGACTCTCTCAAGGAAAAAAAAAACAAAAACAGAGAAGTCAAATGTTTTTCTGGAATATGGTGGCCGTCTGTACCTGTTGGTTCCACATGTGTGGTTTCAACCAGCTATGTATTGAAAGTAAAATTGCATGGATGGCTGGTGAGTTGTCTCTGTCTTCCCACGAAGCTGTTCTCTGCTCTTGTGGACCGGTGTTGGCTTCGCGGTTTGCCCAGAGGCGGGTTCTACGCCTTTGGTTGTGACGCGTGTGTTGTTCGTCTTCCAGACGCTGTTCTGCGCTCCTTGTGTGACGTGTTTGTCCTGTCTTGCCCAGAGCGTTCTCTGCGCTTGTTGTGACGGTTTTGTTCGTCTTTGTTGCCCAGAGGCGTTTTCTCTGCCTGGGTGGACGGCGTTTGGTCTGTCTTCCAGGAGGCTGTTGCGCCTGCCGGTGTGGACGCGCTGTTTTTTCTGTTCGCTCGGCCCAGAGGCTGTTTTCTGCTGCCTTTTTATGGGACGGCGTGTTTGTTCTGTGTTCTCCCAGAGGGAACCTGGTTGTCGTCGCTGCCTTATTCGGTACGGGGTTTTTTCTGTCTTGTCCCGAAGGACGGCGTTCTCTGGCCTTAGGTGACGGTGTGGTTCATGTCTTCCCAGAGAGCTGTTCTGCGCTGCCTGTGTGACAGTGTTGGGTTCGTCTTTCCCAAGGAGCTGCTGGGCCCCCTGAGAAAGAGTTCACGTCTACCTGCAGCTGCACCACTCTGCCGTCGCGGGCAGCTGGCCACGCGGCGCTGCCCCGCGCA